AGAACTCAGCTGTGGTTAAGCCTGTAAGTATCTATAAGTTAAGCCTGTAAGTACCAGCCAGACAATGAAGTGCCTGGACCCAGCCAAAAACTTCCCCTTGACTCTGCCCACGTTTACGCAAGCACTGCAACATTATCTGCTTTAAATATGCAGAAATGTTATGTATTTTAAGCAAAATAACATTAAATAGATATATGTTGTACAGATGGGGAGATTAAGGGCTTAGTTCCATGAGCAAATTACTGTGGTTTAACAAAACACAGTGCACAAGCAGAGAGGAAGCCTTTCAGTAAGAAAATGATCCGAGGCCAGTATATATGCAAGGGGAAAAATGTTATTTTTTTAGGCAGAGAGGAAGAGGGATGAGCTCATCTGCTTTAAATCATACTGGCCATGGGCAGTGCAGGATCATGCACACAGGGACACACACAGAGAGTTATTTAGGCTCGGCTGATGCCCAACAACTTGTTAAGACACAGTGGGTTTGGTGCCTTTGCCTAAAAACAGGCATTTAGTGCCGTAAGAGGTGCTGCCGGGCAGCTGAGACACACACGCGGCTTGCAGTTATGTCTCAGGAATTAGAGGAGACCTCCACCCTCCTGCAGAGGCTTTTGGAGGCCTCGAGAGATAATCCAGAACCTGAAAATACAGTAAATATTTACATGTTCAGGCCACTGACCCCATCCCCGTGTCTGACCCCTGCGGCGCTGGGATCGCTGACAGCTAATCCTCAGGTCTGGCATGTCCTACATCACCACCACAGGATGGATCCCAGGCATCTGTCATGTTGCTGTGGGCACTATTTCTCTTCAATTCATTAAAATAAAAACAGAGAAGCCCATGTTTCCAAAAAATCCTTACCGTCAGATGCTGAATGTTAACGGCTGAGCAGCAGCCACAAGGACCGTCCCCGGAGATGCGGTTGCTGCGACACGCGGCAGCTCCTGCAGAAAGCAGCAAGGCATCAGCGGACCACTGGTGTCCCCACACGTGTACGTGTGTCACGCAGGAGCAGTGTCCACAGCCTCTTTATCTAGTGGTATCCCACCCTGTTCCTTGGGAGGATTTCCAATTTTGAGCCATTTCAAAATTTCCCCACCTGCAAACCAGTTTCCCAAAAGAAATGCGTAGAGCCCAGCCTGAAACATCTCAGTTTTTCTTAAAGAAAAACATCATCCAGCAAATTCTCCTATCTGATAAAATACTTCAAACCTAAGTCATTTTAAAGCAAATAAATGAAAATGATCCTTTCAGAAAGCAGCCACACAGCACTCTCTTCACTTTTCCCTTTGCAGCATCTAAACTCCTGAGCCTAATGCTCTGAGGTGTTACAGAGCCACTTTCATTTCTAAAAAAGCATGGTTTTAAAGATAACCTCATCATCTCTGGTGGCCTGAGTTACAGTTTTGGATCCCTGGGAGCTGATAAGAGACTCAGTTATAGGGCAGAGAAGGACGGCTCTTGCCCAGGGTACAGAATATGCTGGGGGTCCTGTTGTGCTCCATTAGCACCAGTTGCCCAAGGAGTTGGTGGGAGAGGAGACAGACACGCAGCTCGTCTTCTGCATGGGGCCCTGCGGGCTCAGTGCTTGCTCTGATGGGCAATGCAGCACAGCCGAAGGACTGATCAGATGTCACTGAATCGTAAAAATCACAGTTCGGGTTGGGAAAGGAGCCCCAGAGGACCAATTATCTGCTCCCTTCTCCAAGCTGAACAGACCCAAACCTCCAAGCATGTCCTCGTACGGCATGCTCTCCAGCCCCCAACCGTCCCAGTGGCCTCCACTGGACTCACTCCGGTATAATAATAACCTTCCTGTACTGGGGAGCCTGAGGTTGGGCATCGCACTCCCAATGCCATCTCACAAGTGCCAGTTCCCCGGCCCTGCTGGCTTCACTCTTTACTAATGCACCCCAAGATGCAATTAGCCTTATATTTGCTTCAAGGACACACTGCTAAGCACAGCGTCCACCCCTCCATGCTCATTCTGTGGGGTGTTTTTTTTTAACCCTGTAATGTGTATTTCTTGGAAAGGAGGCATATTCTGGTGTGTTATATCTCAGCCCAGGGCTCCCCATTCACAGAGATCACATTTTACATCAGCGCCTTCCCCCTCGGGCAGCAGATGCTGCCTGTACTTGACAACCTTTTCATCCATACCTGTCCCACACCAGCTTAAAATTACAGCTTCGAAACTCAATTTGGAGATGCGGGGAGAAACAGAGGAGCTCCTGGGCTTTTTTATATTTAATGTTGCTCAGCAAGTCCATTTATCTTCCCTGTCAAACTGCACATTTCAGCAGCACGCAACCCCTGCCATTCCTACACCCAAAAGGAAAGTATTAAACACCTGATCCACTCCAAGACCTCAGAGCCTCCTCGTCTTCTCAGACATATGGATGGAAGTGGTGGGAAGGGTCATACATCTCACTGTCTTCACATATACCCTGGAGAAGGGCTGGGAAGTGACTCACCAAGAAGCCAGTCCCTGCGGGATGGGGAGGGCAGCTGCGTTTGTCCTCAAATTCATGCAATGAATGCATACTCAATCCAGCACCCACAGCCTGGTGCATCCTGATTGCAACCAACAGTTGTTAAGGTTTCACCAGCTGAGGGTATGGTCCCCATTGGAAGCATCTGAGCACACCACACCCCCCCAGCAAGTTACACCAGACTCAACTGCTCATGTCCCACTTTGCTCACCATCAACACCAAAAAAGTCTATCATTCCTCTGCCAAGTTTCATGGTAATCCCTGCCCAGAGCTCTGCTTTTGAAGGAGAAGGGCTGGAGGCACCAGATGTTTGAAATCACAGCCAGCCCCACCTCGGGGCAACGCACCACATCTTCCAGTCCACAGCAAAACTGTACAGCAAGGGAGGTGAGTCAAGATGACGGCTGAAAGCAGAAGAACGAAACCCAGGAAAAATGTAAGGTTCAACGTTTTCATAGCTCACATGTTCCCCGTGCATTGTTTGGAGCACATGAACCAAATCAACCATTTCCAGCCCGTGCCAGGTCACAGGCTAGCTGAGAGGTTTTCAACAGGCAGTGATCAAAACACAACCTGTACGTACTTTCTTCTCGTAACCTTTCTGCTTGGGCTTAGCCTATTAAAGCAACTGTAGCGTGGCTCTGGGGGCTGCCAAGGGGTTACGAAATATCTCCTCTCTGGACTTCCAGTTCATCTCTGCTCAAAACTGAAACCCATTGGTATCTATCAGGTATTTGGTGCTCCATGCAAGGGGAATCCACCTGCACATAGGTGATGGACCAAGGCGGAACGGTCCCCCAATATCTGATAGGAGGGCCACTCAAAGGGAAAGA